GCTAAGGTAACGCTCCAAGCTAGAAGCAAAATATTTTGAAATTACTAATGGCGTTTTGATTTCTACAAAAAATATTGCCTTCTCATCACCCTCTTCTTAAAGTTTGTGCGTAGAGGGCAAAGAGTAGAGGGCATTTTTTGGTAGAAACGAAATCGGCATAAGAAAAAGAATTTGGCAAGCATATATGCATTTTTTTTTTAAATTAGTCCATTTACTCTTTGTGGAAATATTTCATTGGGTTCCCAAAGAAAATTTTATCGGTTAATAGCCATAGGATGTTGTAGTTTATGATGCACTTTTATGGCCCTATTATGTATGGCGACTGATAGCCAATGGAACACATTGGAGCAAAGTTGCCAATTACTTCGAAATGGACATGACAAAAAAGTAAATTCGTTGTCTGCGCTTTTCTATATACTGATATTAATCGCTTTATATAATACAAAGTAGGATACTGGTAGCCATGGCTACGAGACCAGCAGACTAGACACTAGTCGCCATATGTAATAGTAATTAGGGCCATTAATATTTTAATGGAAGCCTAACAAAAATTTAAACTATTTAAGATAAAATTATTTGTTTTTTTAACTGTTATGCTTTTTTTAAAAAAAAGTAAAAAAAAATAATCGTTCTTTTTTCACCGATATGTTTTCAGTCAAAAATAAAAGTTACATACTGCCTATTTTTTCAGTAAAAAAGTTAAAATTTGATTTTGGTGCCAAATGAAAGAGGACTTAAATATCTTTTAAACAGAAATAACGAACGAAGTTACCACTTCTAGTTATATATATATATTTTTTTTTTTTATACAGTAATACAAAAGAAATGCATATACCTGTCCGAAGGTTTGTTCTATGGTAATTAAAAACATTTTTTTTTAAATATTTTTCAAAATTAAATTAATTAAACATTTCAGTTTTAAAGTTATTTTAGTCCTCTTTCAGTTGATACCAAACTTGTCTAATTTGGATAAGCGGTTGGTTTATTATTAGGTAAAGACTTTTATTTTCCACTTAAAAATATCTGGATAAGTTTTACTATTGACAAAAAGTAACTGTTATTTACGGTGAAATAGGCACCTATAAGCGCATTGATGTTGATACGGACCTTATGGATTACTGGGAAAGTAAAAAGTTTATACATACTAAAGGCTGATTTTCACTATGTCAAATTCAGTGGCATTTGTGGTCAAATAAGTGAAAACACATTGTCAAATGGGATTAAAAAGCGGTTTAACGATTGATTTGGATCCGGATCGATCTTTAGTCGTGTACATGCGCTGCTAAATCGGCTATTTGTCTGTTTTTGGCCTATAAAATCATCGGACAATGTATGGATGAAGGAGATAAAAGTTGTGGCAAAATATGTCGCCAAATTTTGGCATCAAAATATGACATAGTGAAAACCAGTCTTAAGACATCTGGCATGTATTATAATCAAGTGCCAGCGACACAAGTCAGTGTAGAACGCGCGTTCTGAGCACTAAGCTTATTCTTAGCGATTTGCGATACAATTTGTCGGAGCAGAACTTGGCAGCTATATTAATTGTTAAATTGAATTCCGAATCATTCCTGTAAAAAGGTGAATAACTTCAACCTCAAATTAAAAAAACTCAATATATTTACAGAAGATAGAAAACTTTAATTGAAAGGATGAGCATTTTTTATTAAAAAAAAATTGTATTGTGAATATGTAAACTGCTATTTTGACCGCAAAATTTGTCAGATTTAACTTTTATAATTGACCGAAAAAATAAAGGTCAAATTTTAACTTGTATATTTGACCGAAAAAATAAAATCAAGTTTTAACTTTTACTTTTGACTGAAAAAATAAGTCAAATTTTAACTTTTATATTTGACCGAAAAAATAAAACCAAGTTGTAACTTTTACTTTTGACTGAAAAAATATCAGTAAAAAAATAACTGACTTCTTTGAAAAAAGTAAAAAAAAAAAATTAAATCATATAGGATTAACATTCCATGGCTAACAAGCATCACATTGCTATATGCAAATGTTAAAAAGACCAATACTTTCCGACTGACTTTTTGAATTTAAATATTGAATATATTCAACAATTTTATTGAGCTTGAGGCCGTTTTTAATGAAAAACTATTGTGGAAAAACAACAAATTATTTTTAAATTCAAACATTCTAAAGCGAAATAATGGCCGAAGCGAACTAATATGCATGGCGACTGATAGCCGATGGGCAACCATATACAAAAATTCGCATTACGTTTGGCAACTGGCTACTGAGTCTAGTAGCGCAATTTTCTGTTTCCAGCTTATGACGATTTTGTTAAACACATTGGAGCAAAGATGCCAATAACCTCTTTATGTACATGCCAAAAAAGTAAATTCGGATGTTATCTGCGCTTTTTTGAGTAATATTATTATATCGATACCATACAGGACCTGTTCGAGGCACGAAATCAAAAGCGGCAATACTGCAGCACTGATGCAAATTTGCAATACTGTTGCAATTTCCAACTGATAAAACGTTGCTAGTTGTTCACACCTAACGTGATACTTTACTAATGCGCACAACACTGCGGTTGTGATTGCATCTCGAACAAGCCCACAATTTATTTAAAATACGCTTAGCGAAATAAATTGCACAATAACCGACACTGCTTCGCCCATTTACCCAGTTTAGTTTAAATATCTGTGGCATTTTATTAACACAATCATCTCGAGAAAGGTCATTTTCCTTTTATAGTATTTCTTGATTACAAGATGCCCTTTTATTTTAATGGAAGCTTCGACAAAAATCTAAAATAATTTTTTAATTCAAAGTCAACAAACCCTCTAAAAGTCAGTTGTTTCAACAAAACGCCAGAATGTTGTCATAAATCACTACCAAGAAAATTAGTGATATCTACTTTGTTCAAATCATTCAAGACCATTTTTAAAAGTTTGAAACAATACTTCATAAATGTAATATTCATTTTACTAAAAACTTAATTTCCTATTTCTTTCTTTGAAATGAAAATTACTTGTAGGTATACAGGGGTGGAAAAATAAATAGGGAACATTTTAACAAATTTTTCCTATTTTTCTTTTGCTTATTTTATATTCATTACTTTTTTATAAAAGTAAGGCTCATTATCTAACAAAAACCATATAAATTCACATTTCAAACTTTGAACAAAAATTTAAAAATTCTGTAAAATTGCATCTAAATTTTCAACTTTTTAATCAGATCGTTTGGAATTTTTTTGAGTATGCAGTTTTATAGCCCAATAAATCTTAGCAGACTAAAATGCAAGTTTGAAGTTCTTAAAGAATCGCGTTGATTTTTGACAATTTTTATTCCGAATGTGTTACGCACTTTTTTCCATACAAAAAAAGAAAAAAAAAAAAAAAACCAAATACAACAAAAAAAAAAATTGTTAAAAAACGTGCCCCTATTTATTTCCCCACCACTGCATGCAAATCAATCATCTACATAAATGCAAGTGTGAGAAACTTATGAATAGTTTATATCGTAGAGAAAAGTAAGCTAAACTCAATAAAGATAACAAAAACCGAAACTAGCCGATTAGCTTTCAGGACCATTAAATTTAGTTTTAATACACTCAGCATAACTATTTTCGGTCATTGACATCTAATAGATAATTAAGGCCAGAAATTATAACAAATTTACTGATAAAAACTGTGAAGATTACCATACAAATTTTTTTTTGACTTGCCAAAGCATTCTAATTTAAACAAAATTGACATAATTCGCATAAATGTTATATTTAAAAACTGAAAATATGAAAAATAAAACTCTTAAAATCTAATACCATGATAAAAATATTTAAAAGTAAAACCGCTCACTCAATTTGTCAGTCATAATTTATTTTTGCCAATTAAAAGTAAAATAAATAGATGAAAATATTCAAATTTTCTTTTATTTATGTTAGCAAGTTTCAAAAATGTTCAGGCTGCCTCAGCGGTTTTACCTTCAAATTTTTGTATCATGTCTTATACTTACAAACTCGAAAATCTCCATTAATCGTTGCTGAAAAAAGGGGTTTGGAAAGTGATAGTTAGTGGGAAAGGAAATTAGCGTCCACATAGTCAGTTCCTTGAGTATTGTACAGTAAGTCATTTGGTTTTGTGCTCAAGTCCTCGTATGGCTGTTCTGTTAAATGTATAAGCTGGCATAGTGTATTTGGGGTTTCAAGCGAGATATTTGCCCGCTAAGGTTTAGCGCGTTTACCCCACCGACACTTGATTGTTTAGATGTGTACCCAACCAACAAGAAATGCTTAATTTCGAAGCGTAAAATGGCATAATTGCATTAAGCATTTAGAACAGGTACGGCTTAGTAGTCGGTTTCGGGGTTGGGAAGGGTATACATGGGCAAGTACGAAGCATAGCATCTTTTTCAATTTGGTATGCGAAGAATTTGAATTTTCTACGGAAGCGCAGACGGAGATAGAACATAGTTGGACGCGTTCAGTAACGAATGATATAGATACGGTTTCTATTTTCAGTTTAGCTGATTACTTGATTTGATTGCGATATTGTGCGATGAATATGAAAAGCGGAAATGTGCGACGCAATGGTGGCAAACGAAAATAAAAGGCGGAGGACTGGGCTTTAAAAGTGTTGGAAGTTTTTGGAAAACGTGTTTCGTGATCGTATTATACAAACGAAGAACGATTAAGAAAATTTAACGGAGGAAACGTAACCAACTGGTGGTTGTTGCGCTTGTTTACGCTGCCGTATTAATCTTGTGAACGCGTGTAGGCAGTTGAAATGAGTTTCTTCGAAGATAAGCCTTCAACTTGGTCTGCGTAGATAACACAAAACGGAGCCAATACGGAGTTGCGAGGTTCTAGCATGGATAATGCGTTTACGCGAGCGAGCGTGTAAGGCGTGGATTTTAGGCTGGAAGTGTAGAATAATATACGTCGTATGTCGTAGTTGAAATGTGTGTAGATAAGATTAGCGAAAAATTAACATAAAGTTTTATAAACGAAAATTCGAAGAAAAATCAATACATCCAGATAATTTGCGAATACTGTTAAGTATACATAGATATTGAAGATATTTTATTTCAAAGTTATTTCTTTTTTACGTAGTAACTTGTTGTCTCGAATTAGCTTATAATTAGCGTTCAAATTTGGGTAGCGGTAGACATTTTCTACAATTTATCATCATCGTGTTTATCATCGGTTTCTTGATGTCTATTTGCTCTACATTTACTTAAACCAATTAATGAATCTTTTCTGTCTAAACACTTGTCTGTGTTGTGTGTTGTATTTCGATAGCCCTTACACTTCTAAAACGAATTGCAGTTTTGCATTTCTCAAATACTCTCAAAACTATTACTGCGTACTAGTAATCCTATAATTTTAAAAATTGCGCTGTTGGTGCCACACTCACGCATGTTCCAACAATCACATCATGCTACCTTCCTTAAACACAATATAGTATGTATGAATATTTCTTTACTTTTTTATCCATTGCTGCTTGATTTAGAAGCGATGACCGACTGGGGAACGCGATCTGAAGCGTCCTCCACCTTGGCTGCCACCACTGCGTCCGCCACTTCCGCTACCGTATCCACCACTGCCGCCGAATGAACGTCCACTATCGCGTCCACCACTGCTGCTACCGTAGACGTCGCGTCGATTGAAGCCACTACTGCCGCCATCGCGGCTGCTGTATCCGCCACCTTGACGGCCACCACCACCGGAGTAGCCACGGTCGTTGTAACGTCCGCCACCGCTGCCGGAGCCACGTTGGCGATAACCGCCGCCGCCGCCACCGCTGTTGCTTCGACGACCGAAGTCACGCCGACCACGGTCGCCCATACCACGACGACCTTGACGTGGCCGGCCCTTGGAGATTTCTACACGTAGCTGTGAGCCCAACAATTCTGTACCATTAAGCACGTCACAGGCTTTTTCTGCGTCATCACGGTGCTCGAATTCCACAAAAGCAAAGCCTGGTGGATTAAAAGCAATCCAAACTGAATTTAACTTGCCATATTTAGTGAATTCTCCTTCTAGATCATCCTTCTTCACTTTATCGGTTAGATTACCGACATAGACGCGTGTACCTCGTTGATCGCCCATTATCACTTAACTTTTACTCAATTAATTAGGGCAGAAATAGAAATTTTCACTTTTTCTTTGCTTCGTATAGTACACTTCCTGCTGCTCGGGATGGCTTCAATCGATTGAATCGGGTGTGTATAATACTTTTTGTGCTTCGCTCCAAAACGATGCGTGAAAAACAAAATGTCGGAATATGGCTTGGTTCTCACACAGGGTTGCTTTAGCGGAACGGAAGTGAATTGCTAAATTGGGAGCACATTTCTCCGAATTGTAATAGAATATAAAGGTCTTATATACCAGGCAAAAGTTTAATGTAAAGCGCGCATAGACTGTCGTTGACCAAAAAATAAATGTTGAGCACTTTAGATCATGATCCAACTACAGAAGATCTGACAAGATGAAGCAAATGGAAAAAGTAATTTTCTGGCTGACGATTGTAATTTCGGAGCCATGTTATTTTCTTTGAAACGTAAACAAGAAAAAATTCAATTTTGTAGCACATGTGTGTGCTAACCAATTTATTATTTTTGTACGTGTTTTTGCAACCAATCACCGCGCATTTCATTTTAATTACATTTGCACAAAAAATAATTGCACAGATATAAACCATCGACAAAATACACATAAAGAAAGAAACAAAACATAAATAGCAAACTTAAAAATTACGAACGTCACACACTTTTTTCTCAATTACTGTTACAAATGGCTGCTTCCCAACCGGTCAGATCTGTTCTAATTTGTTCATGACTTTAGATTGAGTACAGACACGGAAACTTTTGTTTCTTATTATCGGCGATTTCTCTTTTGCTGCAACAAACTTTGAGTTGCCGTCTCTGAATCTAGGCTTGCAAAAATTGGCGTACGTATTATTGTTATTAGATAAACGAAAGGACCAAAGATTTGATTCCACCTCCGAATGTCTTTTTAAAAGAAGATTTTTTATAGCCAGGCCTACTTGGGGAGGGTTTTCTTTGTCTGCCGAAGGGCCACAAAAAGCTTTATATAATCTTTTCATGTTGCATTACAACATACAACAACTATACAGACTTGTCGCTGAGTTCGGATGTGCTCAGATGTTTTTCTTCATGCATTTTTTTCAGAATTTTCTTTTTACTCGTTAACCGATTATCAAAATATTCTGCGGGATAAGATATGCTTATCGATAATTGCTCGGTCTGCTGATCGATGTTTATCAGCCCAATTCTTAATACTCCAGGGAGTTTGTTCTCCGGGAATTTGTTTCTCCCGACAAAGAAATCCTCCAACAATTAATTCCCAGGAAATAGCAATTTACCCAAAAATTTGGGGGAGGAAATTCGACAGCAGTATGAAGTTTTTTTTTATTAATTTTTCATTTAAGTTTTACCACCTTTTTCGTGTTTTATTCAGTAAACTGTGCTTTTCCGCTGCACCACAGATAGCTAGAGGACAGACAATAAATTTTGCCTTACAACTTTCTCACACACATTGCTTGTCAAAAATTATCAAAATTGCAATTTCATTATCAGCATACCGTCTACAAAAAGACAATGTAACTAACCAGATTCTGAACCGTTGATTCCATTGCAGATTAACCTTTTAGTATTTTTTTCATTTTCAAGAAATTCGCATGCCAATGCTGAACAGCTGATCAATATTGAAAGAAAAATTGAACCTGATTTGAAAGGGAAAATGGAAAGCAAGCTGCCCATTTAAGGGCCAGTTTTTCAGTGCACGGCCATGGTTTAAACTCACACCCCTATTCTGCAACTCTTTCGTAATCGGATTTTGCTACGAATCGTAGGAATAGTATGCTGCAATCCGAATCGTATTTTCGAATTTTCGAAATTCGTAACAATGGCATGCCTAAAAACGAACGAGTAAGCTTTTTTGCGTAATTTTGTACGAAAACAATTCTGTGTCGGAGGCGAAATAAAAGATGTAAATCGATGTATGTTTGCAAGAAATTTTGGTGGTGTTAAACAGATAAATTTGCCTTTCGCATATACGTATATTTTTATCCACTGCTTTATATAAAGGAGCAAAAAAAAATATTTGTTGCCCCTTATCGAGAAACTTGGGTCCGGTTTAGTTAATGTACAACGATTTTCGGTTGTTGTGTCCAAACGCATAACCCGAATCCAAAAACTTTAACATACACGTGTAATCAAAGGATTCACATTTTATTTAAGATAAATGTTTCAAATTTCCTACCACTAGCTTATTAATAACCTCGGTTTGCACTATGCATTTTTTGTAAATTTCGACGTGGGTTCTGCGCAAAAATACTGTGGACGGCGTAGCCGGAGTGATATGCACAAGAAATGTTGTATACCTTTGACATGCGGAAGCCCCTCTTCCCCGCAACACAGAAAGGAGAATTCTACTTAGTAAGGGTTATAATCCCTAAGCGCGGCCGAAGGCAGAAGCAAGCGCAGCAGGTGGTGGACCTAACAAAGTGAATGTTTTCAATGGCTTGGAAGAAGCTGTTATTGCATTAACTGGATTGAGAACTAGAGCTTCAGGCATGGGAGGAATCCATTGCCATAGCGCCCGCTTACTCTGCTGCTATAATTGCAAATACATCAGAATCCACAATCTTCCTCGAAATATGTAAAATTAACCAATTTTACAATAAACAAACACATGATGAGTGTTTTTTTTAATTCCTTTCCACTTTGTTTTCCTTCATTCAGCTTTTATCGAAAAACAACTGATAGCTGGCAATGCTGCACATGTTTCCGCAAGGGTTGCAGCATGTGGATTTTTCGTTTTTCGTAGCGTAGCTACGAATTACGAATTACGAAAATTCGGGTTCTAGAATAGGGGGGTCAGTTTAAACGCCCGCTAATCAAATGTCAGCCAGCTGTTCCATTTAAACTCAGTTTACTTAATCTAAGTTTAAACTGTCATTGAAAAACTAGCCCTAAGTAATAAGACAAAAGCGTGTTAGCGAAAAAGTGTGAATGTATTAAAAACTGTAACAGGAAAATTGGTTGTGTAACGTCCCGGTGATTTAACCATACCAAGGTAGTAGCAGCAGGGCTGCAGTTTTGATTTATTTCTATTTCGTGAAAAATCAACTGTCAAACTTTGCTACATTCATATACACATTCACATACACATAAATTAGCATCCTTTTTACTTGCTTTTGATTGGTCGAACGTGCTTACATTTCTTTCTGTTTTGACATTCTAGGTTTCTCAACCACCAACACAATACATGGCAGGGTTGTGTTTGCTCTACTGCTATAACTTGTTTAATATGCCTCGCCAGGAAGTTAAAATAAACATAAAGCATACACTATACAGAAGTTTGTGTATATAATTAGCCTCATCATGTATCTCGGAACGAGCGTTCGTTTCGTCTGCCACACGAATCGTTCGTCACTTGGTACTTTGTAATCCGTTTTCGTCTGGCAACACGAAAACAGGTGATCGTTACGTTGCTCTCGTCTAGTTTGGAATTTTCTAACAGGAAAAGGAGGCAAAAGAGAGACGATAATCGTCAGAAACAAACGAAAGGTTATGAGTGATCGTCGAGATGGTTCGTTCAGCCAAAATAAGTAAACACAGTGAAAATTTTATAAATTTCAATAATAATAATTTATGTTTTCACCAATTAAAAACCCACAACAACACAATTTGAGGTGCTGATTGAAGAGATAGACCAAAATCCGGATCTGCCAAGAGGTGTACCAGTGTTCGTTCTGACAGAGCCAGGGTTCAGAAGCGATGGGACGGGATAATGGAAAAAGGTAAGCTTAAACTATGTTCACATATCAATATTACCTCAATCAAAGCTCGTTTTTTAATCGCACCGTTCACACAGGCAAATCTCAGATTATTAGCCGTCAAATTTGTTGTGCTTGTTATTCTCACATCTCAAGGAAAAGTTATTTTTTTTTTTTCTCTGTGCCACCGTGATCACGTTTTTCTGCTACATTGAGCAATATAGATATATTTTAACTTAACATTTTATTAAAAAAAATACCTTTAGAACCTTCTTTTCCTTGCCAGCGTCCATTTTTGTTTACTTTTACATTTGCCATTTCTCCTCTTCTTCGCAAAAACAATCGATAAAACTAGGATGGACACCGAAAAGTTATCGGTTAAATCTGAGATTATTTTATAATTACAGATTAACAAGGGAGGAATTTTATATGGCTAATCTCTTTTTCTAATTACAGATTAGGAAGTTAAGCTCGAAAATGAAGATAATCTACTTATATGTGAACCTAGTATTATACTTGGTAGCAAAAATCATGAATATTCTAGTAACATAACCAATAATACGATTTGTTTATTTTTCTTCAGACATGGGCTGACCTCATAAACCGCATAAAAAGAAGGTTGCGAACTATATTCGTAATATAAATATGACAGGTGACCAGTATACAGTTATAACTACACAAAAAATCTCTCAAATGAACGGCAAAAATAGTAAATAACATTACCAAATGTACCAAATAAATTAAAACTAGTAAAATTCTAAAGGAAATATACACAAATACCTTAATATTTCATTTAGCAACGCTGTTCTAGACGAATACAACGTAATCGACGTAAAGTCTACACGAAGCAATCGTTCGACTTACAAAATTGTAAGCGGAGACTAGTTCGCCTGTAGACGAACCGTTTGTGTCCCCTTTCGTTCGAGGTATATGATGAGGCTGAATAATATTTCAAGAAACGCTTGTCCTGTCCATAGCGACCTTTAAATTTTTCTTTCCGAACAGGGTTGTGTTCAAGCTAACTTAACCCTTGGAAACATATTTCCAGAAAAAGTTGTGCGCATGAACCAAAACTATAAGATCACACAAGAACGTGGCGTTGTATTTGTAGCTGTTTTTGAGCAAAAAGTTTGCCAAATCGGGTTCGTCAGCTGAGCATTTGTTTACATCACAAGCACCACTGTTTTGATTTATCAGCCAACCATTTGGTCAACCGCTAGAAGTTGGTGGTATATAAGCCGTGTGTAGGCAAGTTGGCAAACTTTCGTCAAGTTGGTTGAATAATTTTTTTTTTGTTTTTTGAGGCAGATCGGTCCACTTGTTGCTCTGTGTGTAGACAAGTTGGCAACCTAAAATGCAATTTAATTTTATTAAAGGCGCATTAACGTTAACATATGTTTTTCGGGGGCGGTAGCAATAACAAATACATAAAAATGAGAAGCATTCCCAGCATGGCTTAAAAGCTTAGAGGTGGTGTTGT